TATATATCATCCGATCATTTCTTCCAAAAAAGGAAAATCCCTTACGACAAGCAAAATTACAATTTGAAGGCGATAAAGCGATACGGCCACAAAAGCCACATGGCGAGTCCGTGCCGTTCTGTGTTTATCTTTATTCGCATGGCAAAAATTCATCGTTTGCCGGCGCGAAACTATCCACAGAATCTTCAGATGATTTCTGGGTCAATTAATCGTCAGAGAACGTCGACATTTCACGACTGACAACGAAACAGTTCTCAAAAAAGTAATATATATGATTCTCTTTGCAGCGATCAAAGAGATTTGTGACAAAGTAAAGCATAAGTTTTTTGAGCCTTTGACGTCATGATGACGTTTTCTGCTGTCATGATGACATTTTCTGCCCGTCCAATTGCGGGCTCGGCTGGAACATGTTTTCAGCAATGGCGGACGATTTTTGGACGACTTTGAAGTAGTAAAAATTGGTCATCGAAGGTTTGATTTGAGTTTTTTTAAAAAATGGCGAAAAGGGTTTTAACTTGACCCAATTCAACATTCTGTAAACAAATTAGCCCAAAATAAAATTGTCAATTTTCGTCTCAAGGGCACTTTAACGAATTTTTTTTTTTACTTAAACGTGACCCGTGAATTAAGAGCTGAATAAACGTGATTCGTGAACCACTTTGTTTTGCTTAATGAATTTCCGGCTATTTTATTGTTATGAAAATGCATGGTTCGGATTTTGACAGGAGATGGACTTCATGTGGATTGGTAAAAGTCAGAAAACAGATAACTAATGGTTCTTGAACAAATAAGATGAGACATTACATCATTTTTTGTCGCGTGAGACTGGTAAGGTCAAGACTGGGAAAAAAATATATCAATATAACGTGATTGTCTTGAATTTCATGTGAACGTGAAAGAGGTTTGGATATTATTCGTAGTGCGTGAAAAGGCCAAATATTTTTACGCGACTTAGTTTCACGGAGGTGTATGAAGCACCCTCTGAATGAGCAAGTTTTTTTGATAATGCCATTGTGTCTAGAAATTCTTAGTGGAAGTTTTTAGGTGCAACGGAAATACAAGGTGGTACGCCCGTGATTCTTTGAGTTAGATACCTTGGTTTTGTAAAACTACTTACTAACGGATTGGTGAATTAAAAGGCACATGTATTTTGAACGAAACTAGCTAACTCAGTTGATAATGCCATGGAATCTAGAAATCCTTGCGCAGGTTCGTAGAAGCAACTGAAACACTAATTGGTGCCCATGATTCTGTGAGTTAGACTCACCTTGGCATTCTTGAACTTCTTGCTCGCTGACTTGTAAATTAAAGGACATTAGTATTTTGGTCCAAAGGAGCAAATTCAGTTGATAATGCCATGGCGTCTAGAACTCCTATGATGCACGTACAGGACACTAGGTGGCACACACGTAATTCTGTAAAAGATGTCATGTTATCATCAACTCCATCCCTCGCTCGCTGCAAGGAAGTTTCTTTCCTGATTACTTGATGTGTTTTTCGGTCGTAATACATTTTAAAAAATGCAGTCAGGACGGCAACGCCATGGAAGACGTCGATTAAAAAATGAGTTTCTACTTTTAGTTAGAATTTCGTAAATGGCTGCATGTGTTTACCGTCTCATAGGGCGCCAGACCTCAAACTCAACACAACGCATAAAAGTAGCGTTGAGTTCCAAATGTAAATTAAAATAATTTGCCGCCGCGGTTTCGCTTCGCAGACGATGCAAACTTCGGGGATTTCACGTTGTTGTTTTGCCAAGAAATGTACAAAGTTTTAAGACGCGCGTGCTGGGCTATTGTTCTGCCAATTAGACCTATTGCTTTTCTACGTTCTCCTTGCCATCGCCGTCGGGTGGTTTGCTTAAAGTCGCTCTTATTGACAACCGACGGTTGGATAAAAATGCACGATTAAGATGAAAGTGAAATAAGGATGTAACTTAATCCGTTCGGCAGATATCATGAGGAACTGAATATTAACATATCTAGCGATGAAAAAAGCTCAAATCTACTAGACAAAAATTAAAACATTATCGATACAACTCTTGGTCTTCAACTCATGACACAATTTTTAATAGTTGACGACCGGGGCAAATTTTGATCGGTGTTTTGATTTCACACCTCAAGAAGACAAGTCATTAGGAGCGTGAGGCCATCCACACACCAACTCTCTCGTAAGAGATGTTTCACTAGATTTTCGTCAACATCCATATTGGACTTCCCTCTTAGATTGTTGGTCATTTCATCTTCAACGTGAATTCGAGAAGTTGAAATGGAGCAAATTTTCCGTTTGAAAGAAACTTCCTTTAGCTCTAAATTTGCTAATGCCAACTATTGTCATTGCGGCTCCACAGAACCTTGAGCAACTGTACCAATCTGTAAATCGGAATATTTCACATATCATGTGCCAACTATCATATATAACGTCACTCAGTCAAGATATCACGATTTTCAATGGAACTTCCTTTATGATATTAGAAGTCTGCTTTAAGCAGAAAATAGCCTGTGTAGGTTACATGTACAAACAAACTATAGCCTCTTTTGGCGCAGAATCATTTTTGAAGAGGTATGCGACGAGTGCCCTCTTATTCGAGGGGTTTTGTTCTTTTTTGCTAGGTTTTCAGATGATTGAGAGCGAGACAAAAGGGAGGAGATCATGTGATTTTAAACTTGAGAGTTGAGGAGACTTAAGCGAAGTGTAAAACTAAGGTGACATTTCTATCATTTATTTTCCTTAGAATTTTCCCATAAATCTTTAAGATTCATTTAGTATTCAGCGGCTTCCATTTCTTCAGGTTCATGTTCGGCAAAATGCCACAGGAAACCAGCTTTGACTAAACAAAGAAAGCCGTTTTTGGTACTTCCTTCATCTCATCGCTATTATCACATAGTATACGTGCCCACAACAAAGATGTCTACTTCTTCTGGGTCACTGCATACTTTTGCTAGTTTATCAACTAAAGGTGCGGGAATTTCAGCCCTGGGTTGATCAAAAGTAATGGCCTTTTTCAGCCCACATACAGAGCGGAATGTGTTGTAACCTAGCAAGCCTCGTTCGTTCACGCCCACGTTGAATGTTGATGGTGGGTGGATCATTGATGTCATCAGGCCACCCATAAGTTCTTATTGCACAGCGTTTACAAAGTTCCTGAACAACAAATCGTTATTCATTATAACTTAAGAACACACTTGAAAATTTATGGGCTGATTTGAAAAGGTTTTTACTTAAGAGAAAGTGCAAATGTTAAAAAAAAACATGAGCTGTCCACTTAATTTGTTGAAGTCATAGATATAAATTAATATTTACACAGAGAGCTCAACCTCATCAAAGCTTATCAGTCACCAACCAACCGTTATTTTACCCAACGATATTTATATTTTTTTGTGGACTATATTCCTTTTAATTTATTTGTCATTTCAAGACAGTATTCCGTACGTAGTCTTTCCAACTGTTTGTTTAAAAGTGTATTAAGCGTAAAGAGAATCTCAACAGTAATCATTGCGAGTGGAAAAGCGTTTACAACCACAAATACCGTGGATATTTTAAATTCAAAAGACAACGTCAGTTCAACAAGAAATGAATTAAACCGTCAGATGAAGAAGCAGTAAAACAGGATAAATCATTGGTGATATCATTCAGCACGCGTCTTATTGTACACAAAAGGTTTAATTTTAGTTTCCCGCTTTACGCTCTGAACGTCCGCTCAGTTTAATGACGTCGCGCGGATTACGTGAAGGAAATACAATTACTCATCTTACGTTTCACGGTTTCTGAATAATAGGTACGTTACTTTGAAAAAATTTTTCTGTTCAGAATCGAATCGCAGCTGTTTAGATATATCATGAACTTTCCTCAATAAAATAAAAAAATCGTTTCGAAACGCTGAAAGTGTTCGGCCGTTGATATAGACAGACCTGGGTTTTAGGGATCCAGCTTGACCAAAGATGTGGAAGATTAAGAAAAAAGATTATGTGATAACACTAATAAGAATAATAACAGTAACAATTATAATAATAATGATACATTAATGGCAATGATGATAAAATGGTAATTTACAAATGTCTCGAAATATTATGATTTATGTCTATGAAAATATACAAAAAAAAAAAAGAAACAAAAAAAATTATTTTGAATCCTGCGTTTAAGCACTCATTGCAAATATTTCATTGGAGTATAGGTTTTATTTACAGAGGCTTAGGCAAACGCTGTTCTGCTTAATCATAAGGGCTCTAAAAAAAGTGAAGAACGGGATGTTATAATTTAGTAGTTTCTGACATTCACTTGCTGATAAGATCGTCCCATTAAGTGCGTCACTTACTGTACGCATTTCCTGTATTCGAGTGGTCAAATCAATCAGGCCCGCAGTCTTCGCATCGATTATACAAAGACATCTCTCTACGTGAAAAGTGAACACGGCTTCATGTTCATCGACGTGTTCTGGATGAACCAAAGTGCTGAAGCATCCTAAGGCAAAAGGTAAAGACCGTCTTGGTTTGTTTTCATAAAAGTAGGTAATCGTAGCTCAGGCCTATCTTCTGACGCGTAGCTGATGCATAAAGTTACTTTTTTAAGAAAATATCTTGAAGCATCGACGTACGAAACAAGTGTAAAAAAATGTAGGGCCAAGATACGCTGGGGAAATGTATATATTTATATTTTCAATTTGATGATGCTGGCCGTTGATTTGGTGTGTCTTTCACGGTTTTTTTTTTTTTATATATACGTCTTTAGATATACTTGATTGTAATGTATCGTTGATAATTTAAGGCAAATTAACCACTGAAGCGAATTTGAAGGGAGTTCTTTAGAGTGTTGCTCTTTATCGAAATACAGTGGCTGGGTAAGACGTCAGCTACAATGTCTGATTTGCCTACATTAGCTGCACGTTGAAAATGTGAAGCGAAAGTAGAAAAGAAACATTTGTTTTTCAATGTACGCCAAGATGACATATCAGTTAGTACAAGGCCAATATGACACAAGAGCTACCTACAAAAGCAAAACAGTTTAACCAGATGGAAATATTTATTCTAAAATAAACTGATGGGTTTGACTGAGTTATTTCCGATGTTTCAATCAAATTAACAGGCGACTTCAATTAAATCTAAATTTACCTATTCAATTGCTATGAATGGAAGCTATAGATCGTACATTACAAAAATGAGACTATTTCTATAATATCTACAGCGTTATTAGAATATGTAAATAACAATTCATCTTTTCATTTAGTTGATACGCCTGCGTATAAACTTATCGGTACAATTACTCTTGTCAATGATCGTTTAAAGTTACGGATCTAACATACTGATACAGTACACTGTCACGAAGGTACTTTCTTGGTAGCTTGAACTGGTTCAAGTGACATACTCATACCTAAGTTAAGTTGTCCTAAATAAAGGCTGTTTTTAAACAGCAGTTACTTGGTTTTGATTAATTTAATTTTACGTGGGAATTTACATGGCTATATAGCCCTGGCTCCGGTTGTTCAAAGGGCGGATAACGCTATCCAACGGATAAATCGCGATCCAGCGAATAAGTGTTACCAAAACGTACTGCGCTATCCACCGGATAGAGATTTATCCAGTGTATAGCGTTATCCATCCTTCGAACAACCGCGACCTGATGTACTCGGAGGCAGTCCCTTTCTACAATAAATGGAATAACATATCAGTGTATACCCAGGGGAGAAAACAGTATTACCTCATGCATATAGGAACAGGTGTAAAAAATTACTATAGTCTGATTAGGTCAGATTCGAAGAACAGAAAAAAAATTATGAAAATAATTATAATGATAAAAAACTTCCTGGGATATCGGTTAACAGGCAGAATATACAGTGGGTTCATGATTTTGCTAACACTGAGTCCATGATAACTTGTAGAAAGAGTATGTTTCGTCCAGAAGATGATGTGAATTCAACTTAAACATGTCAGTAATAAGTTGCGATGGGATACATTTTGCAAGTGGAGAAGGCGCTACTTCCATCTATACTGGAGTTGAAAGGTACTTGAGAGTAGTTGCTCACAGGCTCCAAACTGACTGGCCCACCACAGATTCTTCCCTGATCCACATACCACACTGGCATGGTGTAAACATAGCGGGGGTTTGGGATCAGCTTCGTCGTCGATGGTTGCTGTGGAACATGGTTGTACTGTGGCAGACATTGCATATTGAGACTTTGCGAATTTTGTGGAGCAGGTGTCACAGGTACTTGAGGGACATAGGTGACTAAGCCGACAGTGGAGGGATCCATGTATTTGGGGTCAACTAAGCCTGCATTAGCTGCTGAAGAGTAAGGTGGAATACTTCCTGCGTAGTACGCCATGTTGTTCATCATTGGCACATTGGAATTGTAGGTCTGCATGCTACTCACCCTCACGGGTTTAACCTTGGATGGATGGATCATTATCGGTGCTGGAGGGGATGGATGTCCTGTGTCATACCTATAGCCAACATTGCAACCTTGGGGGTTCGTGAACTTGAGACTGAACTCTTCGGGAGCCCAGTCTGCTCCACTGTCTGTGGGAGCTTCAGAGTTTGTAGGCGAGACAGGAGTACCGTTACTTTCTGGGCTGGCAGCGTCGTCTCTCTGAGGTACTTTGGTTGGTTTGGGCTTTGCACCAAGATACGCCAGGTCGACATTGGCCCGCCTACCGTCGATGATCGGTCTTTTGTTTACGCACGCTCTTTCAGCTCCCTCCTTAGTGGCCATGGTAACCTGTGAACGGGAAAGCGATTAAAACTGTGTATTGCAAACATATCTAACACCCAGATGACAATGCTCGTCATAATTTCTTCATGTATTTCCCCAACAAGGACCTAATACCGATTTTTTTACAGAAGAAGGTTAAATACGCTTCACTTCACTGATATAACAAAGGCAGAAAATCGGTATCTGTGGTAAAAGGCGCATTGCTTAAACGCTTGAGCTAACAAGAGTCAAAATGTCACTGAAGTCCATGAATTTTATCCGTGACCTCTAGACCGCATACCCTCACGGACAAACGCTCCAATAAAATTAGAACATTCCACAGCCTAATTTTGTCACAGCTTAAAAAAATGGTTTCTATAAGATCACTTACAAATCCGTATCCTTTGGATCTCTGACTGTTTCTTTCACGGATGATTACAGCTTCCACAATGTCATCAAACTGTTCAAAGTACTCCCTTAAAGTTTCGTCCGGTGTATGGTAAGGAATTCCTCCTACGAACAGCTTAGTGAACTTCGTATCTTCCTCGTCTTTCACGTTCGGTCCGTTCAGCGACATGATATATCACTTTGATTGTGAACTATGGAATGAAGTATGAATGGCGTTCAGTGACTGAAAAAACCACTTCGCACAATTGCAATCTCAAGAAGTCTCTCTAAATAGATTATCACGAGACCCGGTAGCGAACCAGCGGTTACATAACTTTAAATAACAAAGTTTGGATATTCTATCCAGGGGCAGTTAGTACCGTTTGAAGTTCAAATAAAACGGATACATCAATTTTTCACTCCAACGTTAACCGTGCATGACTTTAAGATCTTCAAAGGGATTACTAACCGCTTAGAGGAAATGCTTATAGTCTGACACCTCTCTAATACTGATTAATGGAACTCATATTGGAGTGACTTGCGTTCTAACATCCAGGGACGCAAAAGGTTGTTTATCGCATTGTTAACGGAAAGATTGTGGATTTATCCACAGCCAGGATACAATGATATCCCGCTACACCCTCGCTGGGATTCTAATCAGTCAGAGTTATTCCAAACGAAAATACAGTATTTAAAGTGAGGATTATACTCTCTATTTTTGACTATTTTTCACACATCTGCCCCTGGAGATCAGAAGTTTATGAATAAATAATCTGCTTTTTGCAACCAATGTAAAAAAAAATAGGAGTAAAGCACGGAAAAACCTGACTTTTACCAGGAATTGAAGATAGCATTCGCCCTTCGATAGCTATTTTTAACATAGCGGCCTAGCTGTAAGGTGACCGCTTGACAAGAACCCAATTATCATTAGCAATGAAAAGTAAGACGTTAAAATGACTCCAATGTTAATCTTCTTTTCCACTCGTAATCTTTGTAAATATGCATAAAACATTGAAGATTCTGACTTATAAAATGCGACCCTTTTAATAGATTATAGGAGATTACATGTATATCTTGATATTCAACGATTTACTGCGGAGAATGTCTAAACAAAACAGATATAATAAATACTAGAATAATCTGAATGACCGTGATATGCAATAAGGTCGGATTAGAGAGACTTCAATCCTATAATGAAAACTTTCATTTCCAGATACCTTAAAGAAATGTACTGTTGTGCTTAGCACTTGTGAAAGAGAAGTCGAGTGACGACGAAAAGAGAAAAGAAAAGAAAGAGAAAAACAAAAAGAAAAATAAATAAAAATAAATAAAATCCGCAGGAACATTCTCAATTTTGCATTCAGAGCGAGGGCGAGATTAAATATTATAACCTTATACCGCTTTTCGTAATTTACATCTTACCTTAAGAGGTGTAATCCGTAGTCAAGGTTGTCTGCAAGAAGAAAGAGTCGATGAGATAAGTTTTCGTTCTTAAAATTAAACAGTTGTGTCAATGAATCAGTAAAGAAAAGTATTGCAATAACATGGGACAAAATTTGTTATTGTTACTTTCATTTGAATATATTCTTCACCCTGGTGTTAATGATTCCGACAATTGTATACAATGTGTTTAATTTAAATAAAGCAGATGTGTCAGTGTATTACTGAACCGCTTCTAAAAATGAATAAAGCGTTCGTGCATAAACATCCTGCCTGATAAACAGTGATTGGACTGGAAATGCTTTCATTTTATTCAAACGAAAATTCGACCAAAAATTTCTAAGTAAAAAAATTTTTTTTTTTGCACACTTTTAACGCTTTTTGATTTTTATGAATTCTGCAGATTTGAAATTCAAAAATTGTGTGAAATAATACATAAATATGTATGTGAAATATACGCGAAACAATCGTCCTGGATTCTCGGTGATGTGATTGTTTCACTCTTGTCTTTTGCAACTGCTTCCCGCACTCCTGACGTCAATTGAAAATGAGAGACGTTTTGCTCCTAATTTTAGGCAGCAATCATACTGTTTGCGACAGCCATATGTTGGATAGTTGCAAAATAGAAGTAGAAAACATTATTTATAAGCGTTATACAAGCAGAATCGAAATCAATCACATGATGATGAGATGATACAAGAAATCTAAAAATTCGAAGAATCTAAAGAGCACTAAAACGCAGTAAATAATCTTAAATGGTAATTTCATAATTGTATGAATTTTGATCAAAAAAATATCAAGCAAATACGACAGTACCTTGATAAAAGTCCCGCGAAGCGAGAAGCAACTTGCACAAACTTGTTTCACGTGAATATAAACGTACTTGTTATGAACTAACACCGACTTGTTTGAGTCTCGTGAAACTCAAATGATCGTCGATTATTAAAGCTTGGGCGCGTGCAGCTAGTTCCAGTGACGCGCTCCTCACAGGAGGTAGATGCAAACACGATTGGTTTCACGTGAAAAACCCGTACATCAATAGCCTTCTCGTGAAACTCAACTGATCAGTTATATTCAAGGACGAAATGTGTAGCTGACCGGATGCTTGGCACAACTGAACGATTCGATGATGTATCATTTCTGTACCAGCTACGAGGAATCACGTCAATGAAAACTCATGTTCACACGTGAACGGAGGGCAGAAAATGCTGAAGAATATATGGCACAGATATTAAAAGTGAAATGATTCACATCAAAGGACTCTTGATATCCTTGCGAATGTCAAGGTCACTGTCATCCAGAAACTCGATCACTGTAAGGCTAAACGTTTACAAATTAAAACGCTCGTATTTCGTCTAGAAAATGCAGTGGTGTCTGGCAATCACAGAGTTATTTATCGGCTTTCCTACAATAGGAAAAGATACAGGCCTAACTTTTAAAATTATTCATTAAGTTCAAACAAATAATGTACCAGACCGCGTATTCAGGCAAAATATTGTTTTTATTTTGATCAGTCGAATTAGTAGATGCATTTACCAGATAGTTTACAAGGATAAGCGAATAGGCTATCACGAGATGGATATATTTTGATTTTCGTCCTTTTTGAGCCGGAAAAATAGTCCCCACGGCTGGTAGGATAAGAAAATTAGTTTTCTCTCGGAAATGAGATGCATAAAACGAGACCATAACTTTTAAGCCGTTTTCTAAAGATCAGTTATTACATGCGCATTTGATTCACTTCGACGAAGAAACTGGTTATCGCGCATCTGACCTTTGATTCTTAAAAGTGAAATTCTCGGTCTTTCAAAGTCCAGCTAATTCTTTCCAGTGGTTTAACTAATCGTAACGACATTACGTAACCTTGTATTAAAAGAAAAATGCAAGAAAGCGCGATATAAGCGAAAAAGATTTGGACGGAAAGATAATAAGTCTAAATATATCCACATTTTTCACAGTAAATGGATCTATCAATATAATAGAAATAGCTAATCGTAGCTTGTACCTCTATAAACCCAACAAACGTACTTTTTTCTTCTTATGTTTGTAAAAGCTTGATCAATCAAACGAATTAGGAACAAAGAAGGAAACAACAAATTATAATATTTGGAACTCGTCGACCATACTTTCTGTAGGTATAAAAATTGCTGCGTCATACTGCAAAAAGGAAAGAGCACTTAATTGAACCAGAGGATTGTATAGTACTATAAAAGATCGATTAAGAGGAAATTGCTCTTTCACGATACAGTGACTTATTTGAAAGGAGTCAATATATTTTGACTTAAATTACACCACGCCAGCTAAACTTCATCATTCTCCAACTGTTAAACTCCAGCTACTGGTGACTGTTCAAAACTTCCGGCCACTGTAAAAATTCAGAACACCGCACTGCTAGCTTTGAAGAAATATTCCAGGTTTGATAATCCTTTTTCGCGTTAGTCCCTCACGAAAGTCGATTCTTGCGATGACACACAACTGTGATTATTTTGATTTCCACGAGTCTGTCTTTCCTATTTAATATTTGGAACCATTTAGGCGGGCGTCATTCATTGCCCGGCGAATTGTACAATTTTTTTAAGCGTGGTTGATTAAGTAGGCATCTTGGTTCAATTCTTGAGCATTATATTTCCAACAGAGCAAGAAATAAGAAATAACAGAGGTCAGCTGATAGAAGCCATGTATATGTTCTAAGGTGTTCTATCTCGCTAAGACCTCTATCTTCTTTTCAAAGAACGATCAACGTCGGATTAATGCTATATCATGATAGATATGCACCCACTCAATATTGCTGAAAAAGCTTTCTTAGCACATCATCTAGTCAAAGCAAATTTATTAAAAACTTGAGAAAAGTTTTTTGCCCCAACACTTACTTAAATAACAAAAAAATGCAAGAAAGTAAAAGGAATGGCTAATAAAGACAGCTTTGTTCGGTGTTATAAAGCAAATATCACAAATTAATTTATAGCCAGAGGGCGTCAAAAAACTGTCTTGTCATATCTTTAATATGCGACCACCTGCATTTCTCAGAGTATCGAAAACTTTATATATACATTGTATTTGATTTATCATCACGGGTTTATTACGAATCAACTTAACGGCCTGCTCCCAGTTGGCTTGTTAGCTCAATTGGTAGAGCGCTGCACTAGTATCGCAGAGGTCAGTGGCTCGAATCCCGTACAGGCCTGATTTTTTTCAGGTCTGATTTTCGCTATTGCATAATTAGCGCTCTCTACTGCGAGGACTCGTGCATCATACGAAAACTCACTTCTCTATTCTTAGGATGGACTTGCTTGGTTTCTAAAATGCCCACACTGGTCTTATCCATTAGGCAAGCTTCTATCTCCGTTATTTGAAAATCCCAACAAACATCAATGGGTCACTAAAAATCGATCATTGGATCAATCGAGCATTGTTTCAGAAAGAGAAATGGTTTTCTCTTATTTGATACGCGTAAAAGTGGCCGGCATTTGAAGCAGACTGTTAGAACAGTGCCTGATTGAATAGAAAAAGTTTATGCCGTTGACTATCCTTATGAAGACGGTTTTTTGTTTTGTTTTGTTTAGTTTTGTTCTTTGCCCAGAGAAGATAGATGTATGATACTGTGTATCATGATTTTTGCTGTGACTTTTACAGAACATCTTTCTCTTTTAGAACATTTGTATCTTTTATTACTCGTTCCCGCTAAAAAAATATCATGTAGTTATTTAGGTTAAGATGAATTTCAAACGTGACAAAGCAAATTTTGTACTCAAAGAAGACAAAATAATTAGGTTTGGAGGACAAAATATCAATGTGATCTCATAAAACAAATCTAGTATACATGAAGGGCATAACGCACCGAAAATTTTTGTAAGTGTAACATTTCATTTGTTGTTTCTCTTTGAAAACAGTACAAAGTGTTCAAAGGAATCAAGAGCCATGCATGGAAAAGACGTAAGGACTACTGAATCACGGAAAAACCGACAAGAAGATGGCCAACGTGGTACAAACAGGCAAATTCACGTGCGCGTCCCAAATGCGCACCGAGGCGAAGGAAGCAAAAGTAGTCCCGTGATCCATCGGCATCGCACACGCTTGGAGCTAAGCAGCCGCTCACGTTCGGAAGGCAGCCTAGCTACAGCACAAATGTTTGATTTAAAGAGTCGACGCGAAGTCGGTTTGGGAAAAGCAGAAGAAAACCTGCATCTTCCAAAATTACAACAAAGTAATACAACCAGGACTAGCCTTGCTATAAACAATGATGAACTAAAGGAAAAGGCTGTTTTCAAGCCAGAAACAGACATTTCAAGAGCTTTGTTGAAAATGTCTGACTTAAGTGACAACTATCACAGAAGAATGCTAAATAAGCACGTAAAAAAAGAGAACAGCGAGTATGTATCGGGCGACTTTAAAAGGGAAAGCTTACTACGGTGGTTAAGTGAACAGAACGTTTCATATAGTTAACTGTTATTAGCTTCAAAGAAATTAGGCTGAGAAGTAAAGCTAGTGAAAGAGTATCGCTTGGTAAAATTTCACGTTTATAAAGATTATTGAATTCATTGAGGTTTGAGAACAAGAGCCAAGATTAGCAGCTTCCGGGTAAATATTTTTTCCGCTCATTTGTCGTCTCAATGCCTAGATCGGATTTAGGGCTTACAGGATTTATCCTAACGTGCATGCCATTACTTTTGCTTCAATTAGTTGTCACTTTTTTTTACCACTGTTCGAGATCTTTCATTGGTTATAAAACATAATAGTTCCATGAATCCGGCGACTGCTTCATATTTTTTTCCCGAACTCCTCATCTCAGCCGGTTTACAGAAGAAAAAACAAACATTTCAAGTTAATGAAATAGAACTGAACTCGACGACAGAAGACGTCTCTCAGAAATGAGTATTTGAAGAGGGGAAAAAAAGTTACTTACAACAGTTTTGTCGAAGAACTTCATCTCTGTATTGATGTAAGATATAAAAGCGTTTGTGACCAATATATGTAGCACCTGCATGGATTAGCTCTTCCTGCCTACGAATCACGATCTCTTAAATGGTCTAAACAAAACATACACAAGCCTTATAACATATCGGTGTGACAGTAAGTTATATTCTTGGATTTATGGACAGAAGTGCGCCATAAACCGCCCGACGAAATAGCTGCCACGAGGCAATTATTATTCTCATATAACAAACCTGACTATTTTCAAATGTCTGGTATGACAATTGAATAAAAACAGATATATTCTGCGTGTATCGAGCCTATAGCATTCGAAAATATTCACCAGAATTTTCCCAGACGTCACGTTCGCTTCAGTCGATTGTTCATGTTTGTCCAATAACCAAATAAATTAAAACTGTTGAAAAACGCCCCTAAAAAACTTAGTATAGAGTTTCTGCATTTGTATTAGACTTGTGCTACCAATTTCGGTACAAGTGTCCACGCTTTTGGAGGCTAAACGACACAGGTTTAAAACGTTTAGTCAAATTAAAATGGAAGGGCTATAATAAAACTCAAAACATAGCTAAATACAGAAGCACACCTGACTAGAAGAGTAGATTACACTCTGAATGAATTATTTATACCAAAATATCTTTCATCTTCGCTCTATGGATGAAAATCATGCCTTTGACTAAAGGTTTAAATCAATTACCTTTTGAAATTTCCCTTAACCGTCTTGATGCGAAAACAGCACAGTGACAGTGTCTCAGCACGAAGAAGTAATTGTGGTGCTGAAAGCAAACTCAATTGACAACTTGAATACTTGATAAGATGGCCAGTCAATAATTCATGACTTTGCCATCAAAAAATTGCCAAGGTTAACAGTCTACAAGTTCACAAGAAGTAGTCTGACGAACATAAAACAATCAAAATCGTATAAAGTGATAAAACTTGTTTGAAAATGTCTAAGCCATCTTTTACTGAAAAGCTTCACTTTAAGCTCCTGAGAACTTACTCAGTAAAACCAGCATATCATGTGAATTTTGGCTCAGACTGCCCATGCATGCATTTTCGGGGTATGAAATAAACCTGTCACATAACTTTCTTTATACTTGCTGACTTCATTGTTCTAATTTCAGGTTTTAAGCTTGAAGACCCTTTCGCTGATCACTGCTTAGATCGGTTGATTCATTAATTTTTCAAGATGAAAGCTACGAGAATTGTGAGTCTTTTCCCTGATTTTAGCAGATACTTTTCCTAGTTTACAGGCCAGAGGTGTTTGGTGTTATTGCGTTTTTTTTATCTTTTCACCCCAAACCACAAGAGGGTGACCTGAAGATCTATGAAGGTCCACAATGCAATTATTCACAAGCAGAAAAAAAAAGGTGTTGTTTAATTCTTCGGAACGCCCTCACATCCAAACGCAGGAGAACATCTCGACCATGATTTTTAAGTGTAAACTTTGTGAAACATCCACACGCAACAGAAATCACAATGATGGGAGATGAACACATGAAAAAAATTTCTCTCCTCGCACAGTACCTTTATATCTTGTGTCCAGTAGCTCCACTCATTGACAGAGTTTTCCTTCACACCTAACATGTCAAATTTTTATTTCCAGTCTAGAGCATATACTAGCATATACAAGCCTATCAGTTTATTTATTTCCCTATTATCTGATTTATTATGTTTTTTTTTTATTTCCATTACAATGTAATTACTTCCCTTTCGTTACAACTCCTTCACTATTTGTATCCTTCAAATCTGTTCATTTATGATCACACCTTTAAGAAAAACTTAAATTTTGATAACTGGGATCATTTTTTTCACAAGGGATTAAGGGAATGTAGATATTTTTGAAAGAATGAAAATGAGAGGGAGAGGGTCTAGCTTGATGGCTTGATGGTGTCACATTGATGGACACACCTTGACGAAGCACCCACTTAAAGCTTTCACATGATGCTATGGGCATTTTCATGTAAGTTATGACGCAGCATGTCAGAAGTCAGCGTTATTAACTCCCACTTACTACAACTACAAAACAATTTTGGTCAATATTCGAGCTTCCGTTCCAAATTGACCCTGGGCACCATTTTAAGCCTTGCTTGGCTTCGTGTTCAAAGATCATTATCTATTTCAGGCTTTGAAACTTAGCCAGAGACCTTAATTCCCAGAATATGTCGTTTGGTCCTAATATAAAAGTTTGCAAATTACCAATTCCAATTTTGTCTTGAAATTATGAACTCATTCAGGCTACATCCGTTAGCTTGAATGGAAGGCTGGTAATTCTACTAAAGTTAATGATTAAGGAACTTGTGCCTAAAAACTTTGCTTGGAATGCTGAGGGTTGAAGTAAAAAAATCATTCCGGATATGATATGATATGCAAAATGCAAACTGGATCTCCTGCGTTTCCAGCACATTCACAAGCTTCCCTTTGGAGAGCAAAATATTTCTTTAATGGTAATCGGGTTAACCTATCAACAATGATGAATAACTTTTATAACATCGATTCAAGGGCCAAGCCAACCAGGGCCCTTATTGTTTGTGTAGCAATCATAAACTGATAAAGGCTATTCTGAAATTGACGTGCCTATTCGTCAATAAAATTACGCAACAAACTAAAACGAAGTGACCTCGAATTGTTAGCTGTTCCTCATTTAAGACACAGAGCACTTAAAGCTTTTCTCATTCTACACCTTGATGTTTGTTGCTCTCGAGAGATAAGGTAATAACTTCATTTACGAAGGAGAGTTAACAGAGTATGCCTGATAATTAATTTAGCATTGGGCTTGGGGGCTTTCCATAGTTTTATTTAACAGTAAGTCTATCGTCTCCTACCCTGCTTTCCCTATTTGAGATGGTGCATGAATTCATTTGCAGAATATAATAAACTGTTAGAATACTCTACTTCCTTGCAAAACAAACATTTATATTATATACCAAATCATGCTGAAACTATTCAGTTAGCTGTTTATCCAAAGGTGCTACCGCCTCTGAATGCTTGTCTGCCATCCGTGAGTCGGTCTGATACGGTTGAGTGATGGCTAAAATAATCTAGTTGGTACAATGTTCCTAGCTCATGTTCTTCCAAAGTATGAGAAAATTCGTAAATGACATTTCTAGTTACTGAATACTAGCTAAAACAATTTTAGTCCGCCTTAACGAAATAAAAGTTCTTTACGACTGCCTTGATTGTCGTTAGACCACAAAGATACTAAATCGCGAAGCAGACATAAATTTTGTTGATTTTTCAGTTGTTTAGTGAGCCTTTTGCAGCGGTCAAAAAAGTATTCATTTAATGAAAGAAATTAAGTTTGTTGACATGTAAATTGTAGCCATCTACTCACCGAAAATACCTTTCTACCCTTGATGTAAACAATACGCACTCCATCAGCTTAGGTCTGTCGCATAAAACTGATTTTTGTCGAAGTTTTGCATATTTCCACATCAATTAATGTCATTTACCCTATTTGACAGTTGCATACTTATTAGGTCCATAATGTCGCGATAGACGTTGGACGAAAACAAAATCTCTTGCATTTGCCTATTTTACATATGAAGTTCATAAGTTTATATCCTTTGCCTTCATGTTGATCGCATGATGACAATGGTGTACGTTAAGTGTCAGCTGTTGTTAATGGTGTGTTTTTTCCCCTTTCACTTCAGTCCGTAGCCTCTACATTAACTTATGATTTTGTGCACGTGAAAGTTGCATTACCATTTCCACCTTTGATAAGTTTCAAGATTGCAACCCAAGCTACATCTGCGCAAAGTTATGTAGAAAACAAATTGATTACAATGGTGTACGTAAGTGTGAGCTGTTTTAGATGTTGTGAGTTTTTCCCTCCTCTTCAGTATGTAAATTAAAATTGTGCGCACGAGAAAATTGCATTACCACGTTTATCCTTGGTAATTTCAAGATTTGCAACTCTAACTGTATCTGCATAAAGTTATACCTCTTAAAGTAATTTGTAAGCTTAATAACGGACAATGAGAGTGATGAAAGTTTATAGAATAGGAGAATATTTTTGACGTTGAAGAAGCAGAATGTTTTTAGATGCACTACTCGACAACATAAATTAAGACACCTGTCAGCTACTACACCCGACTCCACAACTTACTCGAGTCCTGTATCAGTCTCTCCTCGAGAAGAACCGACAGGATTGCAAATACATAAATGTCTGTGTAAATGTCCAATTTCTGGTTTTGCTAATTTGTAACCATATATTCTAACGTTTTTTCTTCCTTCTTTCCTTACTAGTCTCATTTAAACACAGTTTGTTGACAGAGTTCACTATGGTACAAAATGTTTGCAGAGCAAGGATACTTGGACTTCAAGTTTCCGCTTTAGTTCCCAGAAAACCGCCTTAAAATGGTTTTTTTAAACCGGGGTTTTCTTTAGAAATTATGGTTCCTGTCCAGTTCCTGATTTTAAAGTGAGAGCAAACGATGCATAGTACTAACCTGTACGTTCAAATTTCTTTTGCTGTCCCGCGATGAACAAGAGCAGGTTAACTACATAATTTGTCTAAGCTTCTGCCAAAGTGGATTCTCTTAACACGGTAAACGGTTGGTTGGTAAGTGTCGAAAAAGCGGAACAAAACCCTTGCCGTTGCGCGAAAACAAGGCCCTGCAATGGACAAAGCCCCGAGGAACTCCGGAAATGCTAGGAAATGACGCTCCGGAAGGAACAACATTCCATTCAGTCGAGCTTAGCACGGTGCGATTTACAAAACAGGAAGAAAAGATTACGGCAGCACTTTTTCTCCAAGAATATTGCATATTGCTGGACTCGCTCCATTTTGATGTCTCTTTGTCGATCGAATTAACATTGTCATATAGCCATGCAATTTGCTAGTTCATGCTGAGTTTGCGTTCCTCGAAACATGAAGATCTCGCTATCAAATAGTAAATTCATGCGCCTTGCAAATTTTAGGTTTGCATTCAATGAAAAGATCAACTGAGAGAAACGTTAGGCATAACTCTTCTTATCTTCGAGATCTAAGCAAGAGAAAGCAACGTAGGCAGATTCGTGTTTTGATATGGTTGGTTTCTTTCTCGTAACACCTCAAGGACGGATGATTCACAGAGAGCAAAAACTTGGTTTGAACATGCTCTCTTGTGAGATGTTACCTCTAGAGGCAATTAAGTTCAAATTTAGAATGCTCTTCTCACATGAGAAAAAAAGGTTACACCTTAAGGGTAAAAAGCATGGTTGCAGTGACAGTTTACGACGTCGACATTTATGCAACTTGTGGGTTGTACATCGCAAATGGTTCAGGGTACTAGAGAAATATGAAGGGAAGAAAATTGATGCAACGAAAAGAGGACCATTTACTCAAAAGAAAAAACACTTGTCCTCAAAATGAGGTAAGAGCACTCGAATTCTGCACTTGTCTCATTGCAGTTTCGTTTTGTGACACAACAAATAAATTCCGCTTTGTTAGGACGGCTTGGTGTAGGATTGGTACCTAAAGTACGAAGATCACTGCATGTAGGCTTTTCGTAATATTGAGGGAAAATAAAAATGACTGTGTCATGCGTCTCCTTCCGCTTCTTGAGGGCTACCTTACCTAGCACTCCGCCTAGGGAACTTTATTGTTACCCCCCATGCATTCAAAACCATTTAGCTTCAACGAACGCTGAGAGAAACAAAAATCCATGTATTAGAACCAGCTATCAGTGCTTATAATTTGTAGTACACCCACCTTGCATAAATGAAAATGATACGATTAATGTTATCGATTTATAAAAATGAACAACAGACTCTTTCAAGTATTCAGTCCTGAACTATCTGGGTAGCAATGTGTTTCCTCCAGAAAAGCTTTGCATATAAATTCCCTTTTCGTCGACCAAGGGTTTCGACAATTTGATGTAAATTTGTGACCTTAATTGTACGAATGACTTTTTTCGACTCTGTTTGAAAACTAGGAAAACAAATATTTAGTGTATCATGTCCCTCTCGTCGCTATCGATAAGAAGGGACGGAATTACTTAACATTTTCTCAACCGATTTCCTTTGTCCCCAGATGAACTGGAAAAGGAAGAACATCATTAAGCTAGCATGATACTAGCGTCAAACCAATCTCACACTTAGTTCATTTACTTGTTTATTTATGTATGATGTGCCTAACAAAAACGGAGTTGTAAAACCTTGAAATAGCTACAGTATGATTAAATGCCATGATACGGTCTTTGTTTTGTTTTGTTTTGTTTTTTTTTTCTATCAAAATGAGATCAAATACACTTGCACAATCCCAAAGTTTGCTCAACACATTTGTGATTGATCACTTAAATTAACTAGTAGACTCCATCCAAAGGAAAACGGTTTAGTAAGTTTTAAATGAAAAGCTTTAAGAAGATTTGTCCGGAACTGATCCTTATCAAACTTGCCTTGCTGTTCTATTATTCGAAAGTATCCCTTGATTTAAAGTTTGACTGATATCAAAATGCATCATACCTGTGATTGTTGTAGGCAGCAAAGAGGAGATCGCTTCTATGTATAGAACATTCTCATTAAACGACTGCATGAACGTTTGATTTGCTTTAGACTGTTTTTCCTCAGTTTTCTATTATCCTATTTACAAGCCTACTTCTTATTTGTAAGGCTCCATGGTCATACCTTTATGTACTGATTTTACTAAAGGGACAAGAAACAAAGAAAACAGACTCAACCAAAACTCAGTGAACATTTACCATCGATTTCGATGATCATATAATGAATATAAAAAAATAAATAAATAAATATCAGTCGCCCAGCACTGCTCCATATAGTTTTTCCTCTCTACAAAATCAATAAATGTTTAAACTTAACACAAATATATTTCAATTTGCCGTGAGAGAAACAAAAAATTTCTCACTAACTGAGAAAACTAACACATTCACTCCTTTGTAATTATTGTTGATCTCTGAGCCATTTGGCCAAATCATGCGATTTGTTGTGAAATGCGGCAACCTCATCGTCCAAGTCTTCAACCTGTTCTTTTGTCAGAGGTGTAGTAGGTCTGAATTTTACCACCTTATCCTTCCTTCCTGTTATGTTTGGCAGATCACTCATGCTTCGGGACCTCTTTAAACTCTCTGTTGCTATAGCCTTCCAATCACCTATAATATGGTTATTCGTCGCTCCATCTCCTTGGTTTATCTTGGGCAATTTGCTTTGATTGAAATTTCTACCATTGCTGAGGCAAAAGTCTTGACGAAACCTCTCGTTGTCCCGGCTGATGAGGAAGCCATCTCTGTCTTGGAGGGAATATATAATTTCTGACTGCGACCTGACGCGGCTTCCGCCGGAATCTAGAGCACAAAACATTTGTGTACCGTCGCATCTCGATCGCAGAAGATCGGTTGAAGGTGGCTGATATTCTTGGCTGAGAACGCGAGACACGTTTTGTTTGTTAAGACGACTATTACTACTTTTTTTCCTGGGCAGGGAATCCTTTACGTTCATCGTACTTGAAACTGAACTGATGAAGACAAAGACAATTTTAATTACAAGAATTTTTACCCGAAGAACGTTTTGCACTTCAAAGGATTAACCTCGGCAATCTGACGCCAGCTTGTCATCAAAAAATGTCAAAATTTTTGGAATCTCATAATGTTAATCTTAATATTCAGCTAAATTTAATGGAGATGATCATTTCATCCATTTTTATACCTTAAGAGATGATTGATGCAAGACTTCATTCCCATTTGTGTAATTTATGATTTCAAAGCAAAGTAATTTAAAGGAATCCCCATATGATCCTTTCTTCAAGCGAGGTAGGCCGTTTTAAGTTGTGACAACTTTTTTAATCCTAAATGATCGTCTTATGAATTCCGTAATCCGGAAGATATTTGGAGGGATTAGCTTTCAAGTACTGCAAACATATTATCCTCTACGGTCTTTTGTGTCGATTAAAGGAATTGTTAAGAAGGCTCATACAAATCAATTTAATTTACCTTATTCATATTTGAGTTCAATTTAGGACACGAAGTTTTTCGATTAAAGTTCGCGTCTCAGATTTTTGTGTTAATTTTGCAGCATAGTACACCGCTGATCTGATCGCATACATCAGTCCGGCCTTTATAGTTATTAATCTGAAGAGTGACAATACCAGTATGTTAAGTGTACTTACTTTAACTTGGGAAACGTACGTGTAAATTGGGAAGAATTGGAATCGCGCTAAAACAACAATTCAGTTAAAGTTGAAAGGAGCCGACTCTGAGCTTCCAGCCGGGGCACCAGACCTGTTAATGCAGTACCTGTCTTAATGTTCCGCTCATACTATAGAAATTTGACAGTAATTGAGTGCCTCAATTTGTCATGAAATCAGCTTTACTTGAGCGATTATGCACATTTAACTTTTTTAACTTTCCAAGAGCCTTCAATAGTAATGGATTCGCTATTTACTATTTTTCTTTCATAATTTTACATAACCCAAACCTTCCCTCGCGGAAAGCACAACCCTGAGGCTTACAATTAATTCTGTGTTAACGTATTAACAACATAGTGCTTTGTGAGCAGCACTGAATCAATGGAGAAGCCGGTAATTCATTTTAAATCAGACAAATTCCGAAACACTCCAATATCAGCCTCATAGAAATTATCTTTTTTGGTTAACATCAATTTTAATTAGTCGTGGCAAGCGCTTTCTGCGTTTTAATCTTATGAATGCTTGATTAAATTGTTGGCCCGTCGTCGATGCAGTTTCCTTTTACTTCAAAGAAAGCGCTTTGATTAAATACCCTTTAATTCAGTGAGAATTTAATACAACCAACACACCCAGCACACCCACTTTTAGCTTAACTTTTCATAAAAACCTTTAAATAACTCTTATAACAAGTGACAAATGTCAAATCTACCGGAGTGAATATCAGAGTGGTCAGTTAAACAATGCTCATGAAAAAAGTCTTTATACGAAAGTTTTATACTCTATTCCTCCAGGACTTCAATTAGAAAACTGCAAACTCATCGACGGCTTTTTTAGCAAGTTCGATACTTCATTTAATTGCTGGCCATACCGGTTTGAAGCGATCATTACAACCATATAAAACCATTCAACAAGTTCGCCATACAATGGTGAGGAGGTGACGTTGCGGAAGGAACAACATACCTCTTTTTTGTACTCTTATTTGCAAACTCACCGACGGCTTTTTTAGCAAGTTTGATACTTCATGTAATTGCAAGCCATACCGGTTTGAAGCGATCATTTACAACCATATAAAACCATTCAACAAGTTCGCCATACAATGATGAGGAGGTGACGTTGCGGAAGGAACAACATACCTCTTATTTGTAATCGCGATCAAAACAAACTCGTTATCTGTATGACAAATCACCCTTAGGCAAGCGGCAAATTATCAGACTTAGTTTACTTATCAATATTTCTTGCACCTGTGGCACGGTTTCTCTACTACAGGGCGTCAAAACTCACGGTTGTAGCTTTGAAATATCAATACAGCGACCTCCACTGACTGCCCTCAATGGTCAGGTGAGAAAACACTCTCGCCAGAAGTATCACTAAAAGTAGCTGGAAAGATAATTCATACCTACTTGTCTTTCCTTTTAAGATGATTTCAAACAGGAAGTAACAAAGCCCGTGTTTACAGTTAATAAATGTTTTAGATTTCTGTCATGACAACTAAAATGAACATTATTGTTAGTTAGAAAAGCAGCGAATCACTGCGAATTCTTCAGCGGGATTAAAAATGTGCATCATTAAAGCTCTGATACAGTGAGAAATCCACAGGTTGAAAGATCAACGGTATATTTACTTTCTTAGCATTTAAAAGAATAGCTCCCGGGTGGGATGTTTTAATTTGAGTAAATGTACTGTTTAATGATTTAAAACCGATTGAAAAAGATCAGCTGCTAAGTTTAGAATTTTGAAACTAGATTTGTCAACACACTGAAATAAATGCGATGGCAAATGGTTTTGGATGATTTAAAATAATTTTTCGATTTAATACTTACTCTACTATCTAACGCATTTTAACTAACATTAGTTACAGGGTTCACCACTTCTTTGATACAATCTTCGCTCCTTTTCTCGCATTTCAAGTTTGTATTCAATCGCATCACTCAGGCAGCTGTGTTGAACTTTTGGTCGACATAGAAGATGTTGGTTGGATTGTCTTTTCCGTAGTGTTCTATTTGACCAGGATGTTCTAGATTGCTCTTTGGCATCGTCAGCAAAATCCACTCTTCGGGTGTCTTGAATACCTTTTTCTTTTGCTGCATGGCTTAAATTGGCGACTCCGCCGGCCAACACTGTCGCGTAGGATGCGTCAGAGAGCGAGCTAGCAAGCCGTCTTTTCACGAAAGCAGTGTAAGGACCAGGTTTCAACTCCGTTTCTTCGAAAGTTCGATCCCCAGAAGGAGGGATGAGTCCTGAGTCAACAGACAAACTTCTCGTCAAGCATCTTTGTTTCCGTTTATCGAGATATCTATGTATCATTTTCGAACCTCTGAGCCTTTCTGCCAACATCTCGTTCATGTTTCCACGGTTACTCTCACCTGAGCCACCTCCTTGCTTTTGGTTAATCGGAGGAAGAAAGCTGGATTTAAGAATCTTTCTTGTGAGGCTGTTGAATGCGTAGACATCTTCAAGGGATAAGTTTTCAAGAGCGTATTCCAGTTGTTCGTTGCTACGTTTCTTTTGTTGCCTTAAAGCGCTTCGCTCGATGTCTTGAAGTCTTTTTTGCAGTCTCCGTTCTTCAAGACCGTTTTTCTTTGTAGTTTCATCGGCGATTTCGCTCGTCAATGATCGTTTCTTTTCTAAAAAGCTCATTTCTAGCCTTACCGATCGATACTTGTCAAGACTTGAAGAATGCTGTCAATGGCTACGTTTAAAAAGATTCGTGATATTCAAACGCTCTGCTGGTCTGCAAATTTTGATACACACCAGTGACCCGAATTGTAAACACGTCCTTCGTATAGAAAGATAATGCAGTATAAAATTTATGAACTTTTACACTGCGAGACTTGAAATTTTTTTTTTCTCGTTTGAGAAAGTTTTTTTGTTTATTTCGGTTTGAAAGTCCAAAGTATAGTGCAACATTTTGTCAAAATTCACGAAGTTAATTTTTAGGAAGTGATTATCAACAAAGAAAGTCAGCAAAGAACGTCAGATTAGTCAATTTCCAAGCTTGTATCAACACTACCTTTGTTTCAATGAAACTAAATTTTTGATTATGTAACACATCTTTATATTTCTGTTTCGAAGGGACTACATTCCAGTTGCTAAATATAATTCGTGCTTTTCAACTCGTACAAGGTGGGCGCTCGTTCGAAACTTTAACCAAATTGCGCCTAATGCGATCATGCGACAAGGAGGAATAGACACAAAAGCAAATGAACCTTATCACGTGCAAGATCATCAACTTTGCAATCAATCGGTTATTACGCCCTTTCTGAATACGCTTTTGCAAGGGCGCAATTCAGTAATACTCAATTTATTTCTTATAATTCTTCTATCTAAACTATGTAAGTGAAAAGGAATACACAATCATTTAACTACTAAAAAATATAATAGATACACTTTCCGCCTTCAGTTGACTGACCAAGTACAATCTCTCGAGATTGAATTAACTTCTGCACTGAAATCAAGGTATGATTTATCATCTGTTTTGCTTAGAAAAGGAAATTTCAATACCCATTGGTACAGAGGAATGATTGTTGTCACGATACTTTATAGCATGGGAACTGAAGTACTTGCAGCACCACTGAGGCCAGCGTTTTAGTGGTTAAAGGTATTGAATTGAGTAAAGTACAATATCGAGGTTAAAGCAAGGTCATGAGCTAACATTATTTAATGCCTTTCAGTTTTCAGATAACATTGTCCTTAACAATAGTTTTCTTATCTCTGTGGTCGGTAAGCACGGTCAATATATGCAGCTAAAAATGCGGTTGGTAATTACAACTAAAATTCAAAACTTTTTGGCATCATTAAATCCTATTAAAAATTGCTAATGGTTATGCACCATTCTTAATAACACAATTGTGTGGAAATGTCATATTGTCTATCTTTGATCTAAAAGTCCTATTAATTAAAGTGGTCTACGACCTTTCTTTTCATGCTGTTTTAATTCTAATATTTCAATGCCACCTGTGCTCAAAAACAACCATATTCGTCGCAATCTGTTTCATTAGCTATTATTTTTGGTCAGAGGAAACATATCGACGGTCGACCTAGGACCATGGGAACCAATGAGGTGATAAATATCTGATGGATAATCATTTCGTTCGGAAAGATTATCAATGGTGATTACAGAGCTACCTTATTTCCGGGAGACGAGTGGTGTAAAAGTGGTAAACATTCAGATTGACGCAGTGTCAGCCAAAAGAAAGAACTCTGAGACCTTTCTCGATGACATTGTCTCTAAAGAGTCACGTAGTCAATCTGTTTAATAGCAGCATATTATCAAAAGGATCTAGTCACACTCTATCGTCATCCTACAGGGAAATTCAATTCAAAAAGCCATACAACTATCAGAAGAGTCATGGATGAGACAAAAGTGTTCCAAAATAGAACTAGACAGCGCATTTCCTCGCTTCCAGAAAAGTTTTCTAAGGAAGTCTGCACTTCCGTTGAAAAGATAAGGCACACTTCTGGTGCAGAATTGCCAAGAAACTTTCGAAAAGGTAAGAGACATTCTATTGATTCGCCTTACTGCTCTTCAAGGCGGGACTTAACAGAAGAGTTCGAATTTCTTATAACTGAAAGCTTTGAATTTTACACTGAGCCGCGAGAGGAAGAAGAAGACACAACGAAAGAAACAAACAGTGAAATGGGAACAAGACTAGCTCACTTTCCTGCATTAAAATCGCCAGTGACATATGATCTTCCCCCATCTAGGAAAACTGCAATTTTCAACAGGATGCACTCCTGGAACGATTACGAGAGAGGGGAATCTAGGCGAACGTCAAACATAGAAAGGCCATGGGTGAAAGAGGAAGGAACTGTTGCATTATCTCCTCCAACGGGTTCGACACCCTCACTTCCAAGAATCAGACGAGTAATGAGAGATTCCGGAAGGTTCTCCTTTCCAATATCAACAGAAAATACAAAAGAACCTCACTCGACCTCCTTTTTATCAAAGGTAAACTTGGTTGAAGGCCGTGAATTGCAAACAGAAGCGGCGCATCCATCGCCTTCGCTCGCGCATGCAAGCTTCATTAATCCTACCACTAAGCAATCGGACGAACTCACCTTGGATGAAACAGACAATCCAGCAAAGTTATTTGCGAGAGACATGGAAGCTTTTAACTGCAATCGCGCGAATCATATAAGACTTTCTGGAAATGTCAAAACAGATGAAAGCGTCGAAGAAAACGAAAAAGCTCAAGCTCTGAGAACGTATGTGGAGGATGTAACAGCTGATTTCAACGAAGTAGAGACGAAGGCAGCTATGTTACTTGAATGGCTCAGGGATCAATCCAGCATGAACCCGTGAAATACTAAGAACTTACCAATGCCATTTTCTGCCTCTATATTCGGTATTTCGCAAAGTGAATGCTAACAGATTTAATTCAGTTTTCATTGAAATACAAGATACGTCGGAGAGTGTATAAACTGCATAAGAGAACACATCAGCGAGACGAAATTAGCATCAAAGAAAGAAAAATAATTTTATGGTTAGTTTTGGGTAAAACCCTTTCCTTATTGTATAGGTCCATTAAAGCAGAAGATCGCTTTCAAATACGCATTAATTTTGCCGCGTCACTTCAATGATAAACACTGCCACTTGAAAGGTGTCCTCTTTTGATAAACAACGATTTCAGACAAATTGATCATGAATGGGCAGAGGTGGTCTGTCTCAAAGAGATGCCGTTGTACCGTTCAAAGTCCAAAGATTTTTCTTTCCATTTCAGTTTTATGGTTCAACTAGACTGTGATCGGGCGCTTTTTAGGAGCTCACTTCTTAGTCCTTTAAAAAGTTTTGCAGCTTTTAAGTTATAGAATTACTTCGCGTTCATTATTATTTTTACGTAAAGCCTTTTTCAGGGATAGCTTTGTTTGACTTAAACCCTTTTCAATTTGTCTAAAGGAAAAACAGCCACGGCGAGATTACATAAAAGAGTTATTCATGTTTAAAAAAACCAATTTCACCCAGAATCTAGGTATTCCAGCTTCTTTCTTTGGTGATATTCATGGATCCAAAAACTTTATGAATAATCGCGTTTTCATGTTCCGTGATGCACATTTATTCCGAAACAGACTTATTGACCCCTAAGTTGATCAAAAATTCAAAAGAATTTCAATTTGAGAAGACCTCCATCGTACTCTGGCCTCATATGGTATACGAGTATGAATATGGTAGAGGTGAAATAATAAACTTAACTAGAGGCCGCAATGATGTGAAACTGCTATGAACAAAATGAACAAAATAATTCATTCATTATCTTCACACTGCCACACACGCATAAATTATGGCTAACACACATAACTTGTTTTCCTTTTCCCTATCGATCTGTTTATATGGCTTGTCGTATAACACCTGATAATCCGGCGGAAACTTACGGTAGTTATAAAATCCCAAACAACGAGAAAAATTGTTAAAGTTTAGGCAAGACGTCCTAGCGTCATAACAACATAATAAGTGACCTTGAAGGTTAAGAAAAACCACTTAGTAGACCACAAACTTAATAATTTTTCATTATTCTTGCCCCAAGGTATTTATTACGCCGGCCGGCTCGTAAATTGTCGCCGGTAATTTTAAAAATAGCTTGACCCATTTTCATCTTTTTTTTTTACCCTCTTTTGACTGAGTTGAATTTAGGGGAGCTTCAGATAACTCAGCTCATCTCTGTGGCTAACATGAATGATAAGAAGAACAATTGTGTAATTCTTACATCGATGATGTAACGAACAACATAACGTCAATCGCCAAACCGTAAGAGGCTTTTGTACTTTATCCACTTTCTCTTGCAGATCATGCATCGTGACTGTTGATTCACCCATATTCAGTTGATAGAACTATTTCAATTCAACTAAAAAGTACTTACATTGGCTCCCCTCGAGATTTGGCCAACATCTGGGGCCTTCGTTGTCGATACTGCAGCTTCTTTGTTTCTCAATCGCTCACTTCGACAAGCTTTGTCGCAGTGAGTTTTTCCTGTTGCTCAAGAACATCATCTACTAGTTATAGTTATGCTACATTATTTCAGCCCTAGAAAGTAATTAGTTTAAAGATAGTCTTGACCAATGATTCACCACGGGGAATCATTTCAAATGTTCCTTGTTATTGATTTTTCTTATTGCGACTTAGATCTAAAGATAAAGAGTTCTAAATCAATATCTCATAACTAAGTCTCTATTCTCCCTTTGTAATAAACTCTCAAATGCAGTATTCTCAAAGTTCCTGCATATTGTTGGAAGGCGCATGAAAACGCATGAAAATGCGCCACACAGATGCAATAGAGCTATTATGCCAGCTTTCCACCCTGATTGAGGTCCCAAATAGGAAACATTTGCTTGCATGACCTTTCCTAAATACTTGTCTCGGCCTCATAATAGACGGGAATAGCTAAAGAAAAAGATACCTATTAAAACGACTAATTCTTAGTTTCTTAATTATAAAATACCTGGGGTGAATCAAGGCAAGAAAGAAAGAATAATTGGTTTTATTTCAAGAGTCATGATTGAAACATTGATACATTAATTAACATAGTAAATCTGGTGAATCTGTCCAACCAGGCTCCTAAACTAAAATTTCAAAGTTTACGGGTAAAAACCGCAACATTGGTGTGATTTAGCAAGTGATGCTCCAACCCTTTTATTCTCATGAACAGATTAACGTATTTGCTTCTGGAAAAGGTGTAATTCTTCTTTCACCAAAAGTGGAAGGTAGGTTGCGGTGGCAGAATCCAAAC